GCATTCTGTGATCTAAGCGATTAAAAGCATGAAAAGGGTCCATGAAATGCATCAGGTTGGAGCTTGGTTGGAGCTGCATATTAAGAGGCCGCCACGGGCTCGTTGGGAGATGCTGGACACTTACTGCCCGTCCAATTACTGGCTCCTGCTCAAATTGTTTGGTGAGAAACATTCGACCTACTTGTGGACACAAAGCACCAGTGCCCTGAATAGCGAGAGGCTGTGGACCGTGTGTGATGACGAGTGCTATTACGAGCCCTTGGCGTTGGCTTACACATTCAATTCCAGGACCCGAGCAAGTCCTAATTGCGCATGTGTGCTTACACATGTGCGTCTCGTTCATAAATAAGATCGACTTCGCTTGAAGAGCAGCTCGAGACAACGACATTAATTAATGTTAGGCTGACCTTCAAAAGGTCGACGTATGACGACCGTGAGCCGCACGGGGCGGGCTATGTTAGCTTTGTTCAATTTCTGGAAATGAAAAAGATGGAGACTTTGAATATTGTGATTTGTTTTTTTTAAGGAATCATGGGTGATGAGAAACTGCAGTAACACTGATATCTGATATGAGGTGATCACTGTGAACCAAATGAGATGTATCCAGTCTATAAATTCATCAAGGCCACCAGCTCATGATACAAGAGCCACACACGGACGGAGCCCCATCAATGACAGCGAGATATGAGCAAAAAGCGCTGCCTCAATCTAATCTGATGTCTTTTTTATTCACACAGTCTCATCGGTCATTATAACCTTGTAAACGTGTGACATTTACAGCCGTGGCACGAGTGGCGACGGGGAAGTACACTTTAAGAGCGTGTCTGTTCCAAATTGCCTTCCCATTGATTGTAGCTGTGATGTTGGAACTTGCATGATATTTTGCCAGTGTGATGACAAGATTAACTTGGGACTCTTATTAAGAGTTGAAATGAGTAAGCGGATTGATCGTGACTTCATGATCAGTAGTATACAAAGAGTGATGTAATACACCGTCTTGATGATCAAAATGATCATTGCAGTCAATATCTCGGCTCAGAACTATACTTGAATTTATAATGTCCTGTCAACAAGAGCTAACATCAGCTTTCAAAAAAGTTTTTCATTATTTTCAAGAGGCAAAAATATTGACCCATATGTTCCATATCGTCACTTTCCTAAAATATGGCCAAAATGATTTTGTCTTTTTTTTTAAACTTTCAGAAAACACAAATAACAGAACCCAATACTGACGACATTATTTGCAGTCATAGTTTAATTTAAGGGTTGAATGACCTGTACTGCGATGTAGCCGAATTTAGCAGAAGTGACCAGCATTATGAGGAGCTGTTTAAGTAAAAAAAAAAAAAGGTAAAATATGACGGCATTCATGCAGCCAGCCGACTTTAACAGTAGTCACAAGTACTCAAATTCCAGTAGTGAGACAGCAACCATAAAGTGCAACAACTAACTTGGGAATCTAAAAACAAGTGCCCCTGGTTTTCAAAGCATAGTCACAGGCATTGTTTTTTTTTTAAAAGAATCATTCTTGAAACTAACCTTCAGTTGCAGCATAAGGCAGACCTTCACCAAATCAGCTAAAATCCCCCCAGCCAAGGCGCGTAGATGGATGTGCCGCTTGCCCGCCTTGCAGTGAGCGGCTCTGAGCTATGGACCAACCTCCCCTCCTCCTCTCATGGATGCTGCTTGTGCCACTCCCCCCCCCCGCCTCTGGAAGAAGGAAAAAAAAAACTAATAGCGGTTTCTTCCTCCGCCTCCACAAAGACTGACTCAAATAAAAGCGGGGACCCTGTCGCAGTCAATAGGTTTTAGAAAAAAAAAAAAACCATGGCAACACCGAAAAAGCACTGGGCAACTTCCCCACGTCGTGACCGGGTTAAAGCCCCCCAAAAAAAAAAAATACAGTGACAGCGACGTTACGCTTAAGAATGAGCAGGTCTTACTGGCTGGAGGTCAACTCGCTGCGTGAGGATGCTGCTCATTTGCAGAATGAAGCGAATATAAAGGCGCACTTACAAGACAATGAGATCAATACCAACTCATTTAGAGCTACTTGTCTGCCAATCTTAAAAAAAATGAAATAAAAATAATAATACACACATTGCCATTGGTTGATCTTTGAAGTGGCGGACTGGGATCAGTGTAATTCTGTAACTACATTAAACACCAGAAACATACATGAGTGGTAAACTGCACCTTGTAATACACTGAAAGTAGTTTGAAGTAGTTTGTTTCTCTCAAACGTTAAACACCAGAAACATACATGAGTATGATCAAAAGCAGTGGTAAACTGCACCTTGTAATACGCTGAAAGTAGTTTGAAGTAGTTTGTTTCTCTCAAACTCGATTACTATTGACACAACACTGTCGTGAAAAAAATTCCATTCTAAAATTCCATTTTCGAGGCAAAAATAACCGTTTCCATTTTGTGCTCTATGGCTAATTTATGAAGACGCCAATTTATTATTATTTTTTTTTTTTCGGGTTCTGAATGTGGAGATTCGGCTGCTCAAAGGAAAAGGTTTGGACACCCCTGGTCTCCCCGCTTATTTCTGCTGTCCTGTCGTGACCATTGTTGACACAAAACCGGAGATGTTACACCCAAAGCAGCTCCAGGAATGAAGTGAATTCAGCATTTGGAAGTCGCTCACAATGTGAGGGGACAGAAGCAATAAGGTGCGTTTTCGTGTTGGGTCCCAATCTCGCGGAGATCTCTCAGCGGAATCATTGTCCCGTTCAATAACTCTGAAGGAGATAGGGTCACCATGGTAACCTCTAAGTGCAGTCTTATCCTAACATCTACTCAAAATCAGCTCATTGAAATCTTTCAGCCTTTTGGGAATCAGCTAATTCTTCTTGAAGTCAATAACTGTTTAGCAAACATAATTTGTGTTTCTGCCGTCAAAAGCAAATGACAAGTTCAGCTTTCATTTCCAGGTTTCTACCGAATAGCTACGCAATTTAGAAGGTAGCAATGGTTTGTTTGTGACAAAGCAGCAGATTTTTGGAGCACCTAAACAGATGAACGTGACAACGATAATTAGCTGCTTATCGTTTGCGCCCATAATATACAGCAGTATATTGGTACCAGTGTTGCATCATGCCATTTTATCGTAACACAGGTCAGCTAATAGTCTTCTGAAAGGGATGTTTCATTTCCACCGGATCATTAAAAACGCGTTGAGTCTGAAGAGCCGTCGGAAAAGGTCAGTGACAAGTCAGTTGCGTGACTTCAGTCCCTTTGAGAAATTGAGTGGCTTCCCGGTCTAAAAAAAAAAAAAATGACGTGGTGGTTAGATGTTATCACCGTGCTCGTAATAAGAGGCTGACTTTCCATCCTTCCTGACTCCCTGAGTCACTGTGATCATTAACCAGTACCGGATGGAGTTTGGGGCATAAATGAAAATCCCTCAATGGGATTATTCAGTTGCTTTCAGGGAAATGTGGGTGACAACATTTTTGCCTGGAAGTGAATCCAGTACGGTATCTACTTTTCAATGCAGATGTGAATGCCAGGCAACAAGGAAGAGGTCGCATTGTCATAGCAACTAGAGTATAGGTGCACACGCATGAATACGACTGTTCTTAAAATCCAAACTGGAATGAATTCTTTGGTTTGTTGACAGTCAGCTGATTTGCGAATGATGTGACGTGGAGACCAGATTGCTGTCCAATTATTTTCTGTAACCACGATTATTTCACTAAAGGTTACGACAAATGTAACACATTTGCACAATATATTCAATGACATAAGGCAAACTTTGAAGATATATCCACATCTAATTGCAGCGTCTCGTCATATCGTTTTCATCCTTGGCACCGCAAAAAGGAAACGCGATGCTGGGGTTCTTCTCCAAACAGTGGGAGCGAGCATATTGACTGGATTCTAAAACCTGATTATGGTTATCATAATCGGATTGAAACGATTACACCGTGGATTGAATGGGGCATACATGTAAAAAGATACTTTTGCCAGCTTTTCTTTCTAAACGACATTGAGTGCTCTCATCAGATCTAATTAGATTTGCTGAGCATCTGTTTGCTTTTTTTCCAGGAAGGGACTCCCTCATGCATCCCTCATGCAAGTGCAAAAGGTTTTATAGGAGCCTGAGGTCTCCTTTCACCTGAAAGGACGTACTTGCTGAAATCTATAGTACCGTGAACATTTGCACTTGTTGTAAGTGTGCTTTATAGGCTTTCATACGTTCTGCTGCTCTTTGGGTGATTCCTCGAGCCAAAAAGAAGTCGGCGGGTTCTTGAGCATTCGCTCTTCGGGGTCCCCTCCTTTGGAATACCCGACTAGAGGCGCTACCTCAGTAGAAATGTTTGAATGTTGACTTAGTGAAGTGTTATACTCTTAAATTGAATGAAAGCTTTGGGGTCTGTTTTACTACCGCTTCTCCTCTTTCTTGCCCCCCCATATGCGTTGCTGCATTGACCAACTGGACCAGATCCTGAGGCGGATCCACTTCTCCAAAGGTGTCTTCTTACGCCACTTCATCTTATGAAATGTCCCATTGTCCTAGTTAACATCTTCTATCGCACAGCATGATGTGTTTGGGTTTTCTTTTCCCATATGGCGTTGTTGAGTTTTTCGGGGGGGGTTTAGCTCAGGGGATGTGGCTAATATTTGGCAAGTGTGGGCACGTGAAGCCCTTTGAGACTGTTTTGTGATTGAGGGCTATACAAATAAATTTGACTTGACAATGCCGTATAGGAAATCAGTCTGTTTTTTAATCATGAAGCTTTTCGACCTTACAAGCAATTTGTGAAGCCTTCAGAAATGAGAATAGATTGCCCATCCAATACTGCTTGTCCTCATTGGGCTCGTGGGAGAGCGGAAGCCTCTGGCGGCTGATTTTGGGCGAGCACTGGGTTGATGAAAGATTACCGTGCCACGGATCATTGCTGACCGTGGGCATGCTCTTACCTCAAGCGGCACATTGCTTGGGTAACATGTTGCAGATCAGATTGAACATTTCCCACTGATGACTGCAGGGATATCAACAACTGGGAATCATAGCACCACTTCCCCCCGCAGACAGGGCAGGCTGAGAAGAAAAGAATGAGCTGGTGCCATTGAAGAGTCTGAAAACAGAGGCCAACTCTGTCAAAGGTGTCAAAGTTCACATGCGGAGAATGAATGCACCCCCATTGGTTTGTTTCCGTGCACTTGTTCTCTCTCTCCCTCCCTCTCTCTCGCCCTCTTTAGCTGTCTCTTTCTCTGGATCATTGAAACGCTGTGGGACAGAAATCCCCACGCTGATGTCTGCTGGGCTGCATAATGAGAATAAATGAGCCGGAAGTAAATAAGCAGGCTGTGTGTTGCTCACCACTCCATACCACTCACATATAGGCTTTCATCAAAAATGAAGATGGATTATGTTGGCAAAAGGTCAGAACAATAGTACAGTGTTCTGTGAGGGAACCCCGAGAACAGCTTCCATGCCTTTGCAAAAGAAATAAGGCAGAAATTGTTTAGCAGGATCTTACAAGCTATTGATGTACGCTAGCCTCCATCTTGGACATTATTTTGGAGGATTATTCGGTGGCTTTTCATCCGTCTGTTTTTATCTGTATTTTCAAGAATTGCGAAAATAAACCTGAGTGGAAACGCTAGAAATTTGAAAAAAAAAAGCCTTCAAGTCAGTTTGCTTGAAGGGGGTAGAGCATTGAAAGGGAAAAGGGAATTTGGACTATGGAAATAAGGTTTTGCGAATAAACGATGGCGGGAACGTACCGGCGTCCTCAGCTGCTTTTAAGCGAAGGATGCTGACGCGACTGTGACCAGAGTTCTTCCAAACCACGACTATCACTTTTGTCGACAGTCGGGCAAGTGTCGCTCAGCAATAATGTCATTTCACGGGGCATTTGCCTGTTTTCTTAATATTCAGAAGATGCTAAATGAAAACAGGCAGAAAGTTCGTTTGGTGCATTTTCATGAAATTCACGTCAAAATTTGAAGCCCCATTCCTTCCATCCAAAGGAATGCCATATGAGCCTTTCTCAATATTCCGAAAATGCTAAATGAAAACGGGCACAAGACGCAGGTTCGTTTGGCGCATTTTCATGAAATTCACGTCAAAATTTGAATCCCCATTCCTTCCATCCAAAGGAATGCCATATGAGCTTCCCCACTGCTCATGTGAGTTGTCTTGTATCCGTCTTTTCGAGACGTAATTAATATCAGCAGCAGGTGGGATGAGCGGGTTTTCCTTCGGCAGACTGCGCCATGTGCAGGCGCTCTCTCTGGAGAGGTTCAGCTCCGCTGATCGGGCTTAATCATACGCCTTCGCGGAATCGTTTCCTTTTTATGAGAGCGACAAGGGGCATCCCCATACGAGATATTAGTCGGGTGATTCACAAGTGTCTGGGAGAAGGCGGGTGGGGGCTCGAGGCTGTATCAAATCTGTTTCCATAGCAATCCACATCTTGCCGTTCTAAAATGCGAGTTGGGATCGGAGACCGGTGCCAGTGTCTGTCAGTCATTTTGTGAATCGACGAATGGGGAATACGCTGCCCGCCGTCCGACCGTAATATAACTGTCACACACTGTGATAAAGATGAAGCGTTCTCATTAGATATGTGCACTTGTGTTTTGGCACACTTGTCTTTTACAGCTAAGCGCGCTGTTAGGAGATAATTTATTCTGCAGCGCATAGATCCATTCCGCACATGTGTTGTCTTTATTGTAGACAATACAGAGACAAATCAGTACAATAGGAGATGGCTTCAGTTCACCGCCGTGCGTATTTAACCAGCCGGGACAAGATCGGCGTTTGCAGCTTCTCTTTCATGCACTGCGTTGCTAATCTAAATTTAAAGAGGAAATCATTTTCTGAATGCAATTGCCCATGTTGTGAAAGACATGAATGAGAAGAGAAATGAGGCCTTTCTTCTGCCTTGGGAATGCGATTTTGAGAATGACATTTCTCGGGAATTGGATGAACACAATGGCTGGCTGATTGTGCAAATGGTTGTTTTCCCGCTCGTCTTCAGACGAGTGGCTCCGAAATGCGATATGCCCGATCTCCACTAAGACAGAAGGATTCCGATACTCAAGTTATTTGAATAGGTGTGAGAAAGACGTAAACATCACCAATCTCTTTGATTCCCGCACTGGCCAGCATGTCTGACTGTAAGAACAGTTGGCAATGTTTGAATGAGAAATGATGCACCAGAAGAAGGCGCAGGAGCTTGTAATTGTGCCCATGGGAGAACTTTGGGGGTTATTTTGTCTGTTTCAATTGAATGATTTCAGGAGCCTGCAGAGGCGTGACTAAAACATTGGGTAGCCACACAAACGCTACCCGCAGGGGGACAAGAGTTCATAACCTGCAGAGGAGCTCACCAAAGGATCGATCATTTCAAACCCAGAATCAAGATTCAAGCCCTGGAGCTATTCAGATGAGAAAAATGGGAATCAACTGAAATGCAGTTTTTTTTGTTTGTTTTTTTTAAGTTTCATTTTGCTTTTGGATATTGCAAGTCTTAGTCCAAGACGGGATGTTTTTGTCTCTGACTAGATTTAATTGCCTCCTAGCTCCCTACTTGCAGGATTGTTGTGATAAGCAGCTGTGCTGAGTCGGCTCTCAATCACGTTACCATTCGATACAGTATTACACACGATCGGCATTGATGAATACAACACAGATTTTGTCTGGTGTTGAAACATGAGTAGAAAGAGCATCGGTTGTATACTTTGATTTGGAGTTTTTAAATCACCTCCAACTCCATTGTGCTTTTCAGGTGAACACAATCGGATCAAAACATGAAAATGTTCCATTGGGGGAGGGTGAGGTAAATGTCAGCTCGGCCACATCTGGAGTGAGAGTGGCCGCAGCTCGCACGCATCCCAGCTCACATCATAAATTCACATCTACAAACAGACAAACAAAAAAGAAGATCCAGATGCAATCACAAAAACAATCATCGAAGTGCTTTGGTGAAATGAAGAATGTATTGTAAGCCGCTACGTTGCGTTAAAGAGTCCTAACTCAAGAGCGCTTATTCCTAGCGGCTGTCTGCAGCGTTTTCTCGTGCCATTTCACTGCGTGTTCTTTCCTGTTGCCGCATTCGGATGAGCCATGCTGGATCTTGTTACCTGTCGAATGTGGACACGTGACCCCATCTCGAGCAGGTGGGGGTTCTGAGAGGAAATCGCACGTGTGCCGTCAAGGAGATGAGCGGCGGTGAACAGGCCTGACTGATGTCACTTTGACAGAGAACAGAAAGGCCCGTGTTGGGGGAAGCTGAGAGCCAGACAAGCCAGCACACCAAGATCCCCCTTCCTTTTGCTATATTAATGGCCTTCACCTGAAAGGAACCTCCACCCCCCGCAACCCTATCCCACATATAATTTGTGTAATCATGTGCTGCATTGATTAGACCTCATTATTCATCCAATCATATGAACTGACACTAACATTCCCAATCTATTGTTGAGAGGAGAGACGGGCTATAAGCACACAAATGCAAATAGTCTAAACATACAACAAAAACTTTCAGCAGGAGCGTGAAAAAGGACAACTGGTTTTGTTGCCATGGAGATAAAGGCCTACGTGGAACACAGGAAGTTAATTAGCAATCTGGCTGCAACTCATTAAATGATGTCTGGCAGGGCCGAGAGGCTGGCAGTTTCAATGTTTGAGGCCGGCTACCGGCGAGATGGTTGAACTCTTCACTCTGTTTAAATGCTTTAACGGAATTTTTGGAAATCGTAAATGGGGTCAAATCGGGACAGACCACATGCTGTTGTCTTCACTGTCATTGCTGTGTGCAAAAAATGTGTTGGTAGCTTTGGGACAGACACAAAGAAACCCCACTGATGAATCTGTCACATGCATACTTGATTTAGTTTGCAGAACTACACAGAAGAAGATGCTTGATGCTCTGTCTTGCAGCTTTGTTGTGTCTCTGGGGATCAAGGGTGGAGCACGAACGGGGAGCAACCGACGTAACCTCCCAGACAGCTTCCATCTGAATCCCAAACAGCATCAAACCGCCGCCAATGAAAAGCCATACGGATTCGCCAGATGAGTTCCAGAGATTGTTATCGGGGGGGCCGGACAGCGCACGCTGCAGGTATCAAGCCAAATGCTAATGCTCTCTCTTCATTATTGCCATTGAGCGGTTTCATTGTGGGACCTGATGAATCTGCCAGTTGAGTCCATTCGGCAGCGTGGTTTCCTGTCATGATGTGTGACAAGCAGACGACTTCAGCGTGCCCCTGGGCAGCTGCGCGGGGATGCGCCATCGCTTCCTCATCACACAAAATAAAGGGGGACTTTGATGGTATCATCTCTGAATCACCCCCCCCCCCACACACACACACACACACACACGAGAAACATGCAGTCACTGTCACATTGGAGGAGACTTCCATTTGCTCAGTAATTGAGTTTCTGTCTTGCCCCTCGTGTTCACAAGAAGCGCAGCTGAAGTAAACCGAGCCCGTGTCTAGTTCTCCGTTTCGACTTCCACCGTAATTACTTACGACAAAACATATACATATGAAACACGTGTTGATTTCATTTACATTTTTAAAACTCATCTTAAAACACATTTTGATTTGTGGACTTTTGATTCAGCATGACATGTATTTGTACTTTATGTGTAGCAGCTATTACCAAAAAAAAAAAAAAAAAGCTATTTTTCAGCTATTTTTTGAAAAGTGCACAACAAATGAAGTCAAGCAGAGTTTCCTTACGTTACAGGCTCCAGCTCACCATGACCCCATCAGGGAAAAAGCGTGTTCAAAATGGATCGATGGATTGATTCTGTCCATTGAATTTAACCCTTAGTTTGCTGCCTATTCAGTCAAACTATTTCAGTTTGACATCTCGAACATGCATCCGTACAATGTTTAAGAATCAATGGATTTAAGGTAAGTGACGTGAAAGTAGATAAAGTAAGGAAGGAAGGCAAAAAGAAAGAAAGACAACTTCCCTTCCATGCTTTCAAAGATAATAATAATAATAATAATTCATTTTATTTAAAAGCGCCTTTCATGCCACCCAAGGACACTGTACAGACAATGAGGAAATACAATATAAAAATAGATAAGAGAAATATTATGTAAAAACAGGACATAAAATCACAAGACATGGGAAGTGGAAGAATTAAGTATTGTAGGCAGATGCTGTAGATGCTGAAGATTGTGCGCTGCTGCTCTCTGTTGGTAGAAATGAGAGTTACATTTAACCAAAATTCCATCCAGTGTCTTTGTTTTTTTTTTTTTGTCTCGGTCGCCATCTGCAGACCATTTGGGTTTCTCTAAATTACACACCAACAAGGCATCCGGGGGTTCTTTTAAAACACACACACACACACACACACACACACACACACACACACGTCGGGGCGTCACTTCTGCTATGCTTGTTTGTGATCACCAATAGATCCCACGACGGTGATAGCAACCAATTAAAGCGACCTGGAGTATAATTTGGCATCATTATTTTTTTCAGTGCTTTCCCACAAAGGGGGAAAGGGATGACTCGCCGATAAAAAAATCAAAAAAAAAAAAAAATCACACGAGTCTTTTGAATTTCACGTTCTTTTCAGACTCCCCTTGACTTTGAGCTCCCCTTGCCACTGGGGTGTTGCATTATTTCCTCGGAAAATTGTCTCTTGAATATAATTAAGGTCCCATTTTTCTCCTGCGTCAGCAGGGGGATATTGTGCGGGGTCAATAGACCACTGATTTAACAGCAGGAAGATGAATAGAGGAAGCGACTCCTATTCATACCCTTGAGCAAGGTGCTTGTTCTTACAAGCGTAATTGCCCCTGCAGCAAAGATATAGCTGGCCCCGCCCAGCACCCCCTAAACATAAAACACATCATCGATCAACAAGACTTAGAGGTTAGGTGTGACTTCATGAACTCCAGCAGCATCCTATTTGTCCGTAGCAATAAGATTAAATACATAAATAAAAAAATAAATCACAAATATGTATTTTTCCCCAGTGCAGTTGCAGGACTTAGCACAGTGGAGTGGCTCAGTAATTTCTGAGTAATTCAACCTGTTTTTATTAAAGTTCTGGCAGGCAGGTTCCACCAGGGAATTACAATAGTGACGAAAACACACGCTATTCTGGGCTGAATATATTCACTTTTTTTTTTTTTTTTAGAGGAAAAAAAAGAGGACTGCTTTGATGTTGTGGGAGTCTGAATTCAAACATGCAGTGCATGTGAATACACTTGCCTTTGTGCCACCTGCTGGTTTGTATGAATTAGATTTTTGCCCTGTCTGTCCACAGCATCTTCAGACTAACGCGGCCTCCTGCCATGTGTCAACGCCAGTCTGATCGTACACCCGACACCATCTGCCGTCAACCTTCTGAATGGGCTTCCGGATCGCTCCGGTGGGGAGCAAAACATGCCGCGCTTGCCTTGAGACTTAATGAGCATGACACATGTAACATAGTGAGTATGGCACAAAAAAATGAGTCATCGATGAAACTACTGCACATTCTTCCATTGTTATGGCGCATCCAACGAGAGTCCCTCCGCTCCCTACGTTACCAGTGCCGAGCGCTTAGTGAAGTTTCTCGGAAGAACTAATGAACCGCGAGAACAGCACTGAAGCCGAATGAGGGTTGAGGTCGACAGAGCAATTTGCTGTTGCTTCGGAGGTAGTCTCAGATGCTCATCAAAGGCAGCTCGCTTGCGAGACTGAACACAAATACAAAAGCGACGCTTGTTATTGCTCCCATTTCTCATGACCCCAACTCCAAGATCTACCAAAGGCTTTTTTCTCACAAATACTGTTCACAGGTCAGTCTAAAACTGTGCAAGTGATCAGCCGTCAACCTCACTCACAGGGGTGGCATATCAAGACTGTGTTTTGGCAACATGATGATCGCACAGATGTGCCTTCGGCAGCCACGCTTTTGTGGCTGCCGAAGGCACATCTGTCAAAACTCAAGACGCTGAACATAGCGGCCTGTGGTAGCTATCTCAAAGTAAAAATGACACTTTGACCTCAAAGTCTTCATTTACCATTTACGTAGCCCCTGGTTGTCACACATTTAACGAGAGAGCTTATATTTCAGTCGGTCGGCGTCCCGGTAGCTTGTAACATATCGACAGCAAAAATTGTGACGCCATCTGACCTTTCCACTGGAGAATCTTAATGCGTCGCTTTGCATAAAGTCCAGGGAATCGTAATGGGTACTCGCTTCAAGGCGAGCGATATGGTTAAGGTGGCTTCATTTGTAGTCCGGACTTAGAAGGATGAACATCTCCTGGAGGGAGTGTCAGACTCTTCAGAAGTTTCAGGGAACACCAAAAGAGTTGTGCTTGTCACTTTTTTTTTTTTTTTAAATAATCACTATAGAGGTGAGCAAAGTTGCTCAAATATTGATTGACCAAGTCAAAAAAATGTAGCTTGAAAGTCATTTGAAAAGACGTCATAGGCGTTGGTGGCAATGGCCTCACTCGGTTCCTGGTCATTGTCATGCTAACAAAAGCCGGACTCAATATTTGCATGAAACAGAACTACCAATGCAAAAACCAAAAATTTAAAATTTTTGTCTCGGGGATAAAGCATTCCCGATAATGGATGGGTGTCAACTTTTGAGCGGATGCCTGGAAAACGGCCGAGTATTCCCAAGTCCACCTACATCAACGCCTCATTCAACCCGATGAACTATTTTGAGCGATTTATCGCTGTTATAATGTTTATTCAGGCAAACGTTTTGCAAGTCTCAGATTGTGGCACCTAACATGTCAGTCCAACAAAAGATTTTTCTTCTCCTTTCACCGAGGAAAGTCTCTGCTAAAGCTAATGGGGACCTTTGGGGTATTTTTTGCCGGTTGTAGTCCCCAAAAGTTGAGCCAG